CTCTCCTCTCCTCTCCTCTCCTCTCCTCTTCCCTAACTTTCTCATCCCTTCTCCCTTTTTATTCTCCATGCTCCCTGCAACTGCTCGTCGTCAGTGTCTACTCATCCTCTCTCCCTGGCCGCGTTCGTCTGTGCACCCGCCCCTCCCGCGCGTTTTTCCCGCCCGTTCTTTTTTGTTGTTGTTTGTTTGTTTTTGTTTTTGTCGCCGTTTTTCTTTCTCCACACCGCACGCCCCAACTTCTTCCTTGTCCTCGTCCTCGTCCTCGTCCTCGTCCTCGTCGTCCTCACTCCTCCTCCTCCTCCTCCTCCTCCTCTCCTCCTCACTCCTCCTCCATCCTCCTCCTCCTCCCTCCTCCTCCTCCTCCTCCCTCCTCCCTCTCCTCCTCCTCCTCCCCCCCCCTCCTCCTCCCTCCTCCCTCCTCGTCCTCGACCACCGCGCGGCGTGCCTTTCTCTACGCCGCCTCGCGCTGCGTGCCTTTCTCCACGCCGCACGCCTCTTGCTGCTCCGATCGGCGCCCTCGCCCCCGAGGGGGCCGACCGCGCCGCGCCGGGTGCCCCCGCCCCGCCCCCGCCACGCGGCTGCCGCCGAGGCGCCCGCGGGCGCCCCGGCAACCCTGGCAGCACACGCGCCGCCAGGGGCGAGCGGGCGCGGGGAGGGGCGAGGGCGCAGGGCGGGGGCGGCCAAGAGGGGGGTGATGACTAGGGGGGGAGGAGGGGGAGGAGGGGGAGGAGGAGGAGGAGGAGGAGGAGGAGGAGGAGGAGGAGGAGGAGGAGGAGGTGGAGGAGGAGGAGGAGGAGGAGGAGGAGGAGGCGGAGGAGGAGGAGGAGGCGGAGGAGGAGGGGGAGGAGGAGGGGGAGGAGGAGGAGGAGGTGGAGGAGGAGGAGGAGGAGGAGGAGGAGGAGGCGGAGGCGGAGGCGGAGATATCATGGCTGGGGCCATGGTAGCATGATTTGCGCCTCCCCCCTCCTTGGACGCCCCCCTCGTTGCCGCCCCCGAAGCGAGGGCGCGGGAGGCGCGCAGGAGACGAATGCAGGGGAACGAAGAGTGACATAAACGCGCAAACTCAGATCTCCGAATTCTTATGTTTATGTCATTCTTCGTTCCCCTAACTACAGTCAGCCCTCATAGTAATGATGGGCAACCTCCCCAAGGGGACCCCTGCATCCTTGCCTCCTCGGTCCATCCTTGTCCACTTTCATTGGCCGCGCCCAGCTCGAAAGGCTTCGAAATGGGCGTCCAAGGCCCTTGCGTCCTTATCGCGCGTCCCCATGATAAGGGCCGACTGTGCCACTGGCCGCAGGAATGTCAGCAAACTGAGGTGAGGTCTCCGCCCCGACCAGCCCGAGGCGTCGGTTGATCTGGACGACCTCATTCCTTTTACTCGTCGCGTTCCCGCTCTTGTCCTGGCGCCTCGCAGGCAAGCGAGGCATGGCGGTGGGCGCCGATGGGGTCTCGTGATCAGCACCCGCCGCCGGTTCTCGCACCGCCCAGCCTCGGCGCAGCGTTCCCCCTCCTCCTCCTGCTCCTCCTTCTCCGGCGGGTTCGGCGCGGCCCGCGGGGGCGGCGCGGCAGCGCCGGCCGCCACGTCTCAGAGCGTGAATTACCTACCCCGCTTTCGCTTCCAGGCAAAACCAAGCCATACCACGCGCCTCCTCGTCAAGCGGCCTGACCGGTACAGGCTGCAATTTGGCATCGTTTGGTATCTCTTGGAAGCGAGGGTGGTCAAAAGCGAGGTAGGTTTGTTTTCCCCGTAACGTCGCCTCCACAGTGCATCTCTGCATGGCGTGCGGCCGAGGCCTGTGCTCCGCGTGTCGCCTCCGCGCGTCTGCGTGCGGGGCCGCGGCCTGCCCGTGGGCAGCCCGGCGCCGCCGCGCTGGCGGGCGATGCGCGGCTCAATGGCCGCGCGCCTCGCCCAGGGACGCCCCGCCGCCGACCCGCTGGCCCCGCGGTACCTCCTCCTCTCCTCCTCCTCCTCCTCCTCTCCTCCTCCTCTCCTCCTCCTCCCTCCTCCTCCTCCTCCTCATCCTCCTCACTCCTCCTCCTCCTCCTCCTCCTCCGCCTTCCTCCTCCTCTCGCTCCTCCTCCTCCCTCCTCGCTCTTCCCCCCCCCCCTCCTCCTCCTCCTCCTCCTTCTCCTCCTCCTCCTCCTCCTCCTCCTCCTCCTCCTCCTCCTCCTCCCTCTCTCCTCCTCCTCCTCCTCCTCCTCCTCCTGCCCAGCTGCTGTTTCGCAGCCGGACGCTGCCGCCGCGGCCGCTGCCGCGCCCGTGGGTCGCGCCGCCCAGGGCGCCGCTGTGGGGGCTGCTGCCGGCGAGGTGCCTGCTGGGGCTGCGGGCAACTCTGCCCTGCTGCACCTCCTTCCGTCGTTTCCGTGTGCCTTCCCGCGGGCGCCGCGGTTCTGGGTGCCGCGCTCCTTCCGGCAGCAGGTCGCCAGCGTCCTTCAGGCGCTCCTCGTCGATGCGACGGCCCGCGACGGGGCAGTGGCAGTGGGTGCTCGGGCCGAGGTCGCGCACCGACTCTGCAGACTGGCGCCGCAGCTCCTTCCCCCACGCGCCGCTGGATGACGCAGCGCCCGGCTGCCCTGACGAGCAGGAGCTGCCCGACTCGGCCGGGTCGAACGCCGTCCTCCGCGCCCAAATCCGGTGTGCGATCGGCTTGTCAAGGACTTGCTCCGCGACCTGGAAGAGGAGCGCGCCCGCCGCGCGCCGCCCCTCGCCGTACCCTCGTCTCGTGATGCTGAGGGGCGTCTTGCAGCCCCTGCAGCCCAGGCGGCCGCTATGAAGATGCTCCGCGGCACTGCGCGAGGGGGGCGGGACATTCTTGTTGGTGGTCTTCGGGCCCCCCCTGGACCTGCTGCAGTCGTGGGCGTGAAGGCGCCATTTCGCATTGCACTCCTCGGACGGGAAAACGTAATCGAGTTGCGGCAGGCGCTCGCTACAGCGGCTGCCATATCCATAAAGAGGCGTCTGAAGGTCACGCTGTGACTTGTTGGTCGCCAGGCCGCCGCCATTGAGCCGGCTGCCGGAGGCGGGCTCAGTAGTTGGCGCAACAACCGCGTTTTGCGTCTCTACTTCGACCCCGACGGCCCACGCGTGTTGGCTGAGTGGAGCTCCTGCTTGACCCTTGGTGCCATCAGCCCATGGCTTGCGAGTCTCTGTTCCGGAGCGGTCCCCGAGCATCCGCCCCGTCCTGCAAGGCGAGGCTTTGCTCGAGCTCGCCATGAGGGCGTGCTTGCTGGGGGCCGGCATGGAGGTCGCGGAGGCGGTCGGGGAACGCCAGTGCGGAATTGGACGCTGCGCCGCGGCGCAATTGGAGATCGCCGAGGTCCAGGCGGCCGCGCGGGCCTGCCCGCAGCGCGCGCTCATCGGCCTCGACATCCAGAATGTTTTCGCGCAGGTGCGTTGGGCGGACGCCCTCGAAGTCAAAGCAGCCGTTGCAAAGGCCCCCATGGTGGCCGTTCCCACGGCCATCCTCTGGTGGGGCATCCGGGTCGAGGTGTTCCTCTTGGGTGCGGATGTGTGGGGGGGGGGGGGGAGGGCTGGCGCTCGGTCATTCGCGGCAGTCTCATCTTAGGGGGGCCAGGAGGGCCATCCCGCTTTCTGCATGGTCATCGCCGTGGCATGGCACGTGGTCGTGACTGGCCCGTGCCTGCAGCCCCGCCAGCTGGAGATCCGCCATTGGCCGTGCGTGGGCGATCGGAATGTGCAGGCGCCGCTGGCGATCGACCTACCGCTGCAGCTCGCGCAGTTGCGCCTTCCACGTGCCCGCGCTGGTCGGCGCGCCGGCGGCGGCGCCCTCGGGGCGCGGGCGCTCGCGGCGCGCGCCCGCTGCCGCCCGAGCGGGTTGATCCTGGTCGTCGCGGAGGCGCGCGGCGACCTGGCCGTGCCGCTCTGCGCGACGGCGTTCCGGAGCAGACCCGGCAGCGCCTGGGCCGAGCGATTCGCGTTGCCGACGCCGCTCTCGAAACAGTGCGCAATGATGCGCTTGGTGCCGCCAGCGGGCGCCGAGCAGGCCGTCCGAATTCGCCCTGTGCCGCGCCGTCGTCGCCCGCGCGCTCGGTTGCCATGTGGGGGTCTTACTTGCGGCGCTCCTGCTGCCCCGGCGCCGCGTCCCAGGACAAAGCATCGCGGGCGTCGGCGCGGCGTCGACCAGCCCGCCGAGGCGGAGCTCCGGCGCGTCGGTCTGCCAGTCCAGTTCGCTGGCCTGCAGGTGGGCGCGCCCTTGCATATCACCCCGCTGAAACGGGCGGCGCGGCTCGCTGAGCACGGCCCTGCACGCCGCGCAGAGGTCGCGCGCTGGGCCGGCGAGGTGGCCGCGGTCGCTCGTGACGTCGAGCAGTGCGACGGCGTCGACGACGCGTTTGTGGGCATTCTGGACGTGCTGCGTGATTGCGGCGTCGCCGTCCTCTCCGGGCGCGGCCGCCCTTCCCCGGGCCCGGCAGAGCGCGCGAGCGACCCGCTCCGCCCGGAGGCGCCGGGGCAGCACCTTCTCAGCAACCACCTCCGGCGCTCCGCTGCGGCGCGGCACTCGGGCCTGCTCGCGGGGCGCGGGGCCAGGCGCGCCTTGTCAGCGCGGCGGGGCCGACGGCGGGCGCGGCGACCGCTGCCGAGCAATCTCTGGTCGGCGTCGCCCTCGCGGACAGTGGGCGGGTCGAGGCCGCGCGCTGCGGCCAAGGCATTCCCTCGCCCTGCCCGCCTAGCGCGCTGTGCTTTGTCGAGGAGGCGCCCGCGCAGGAGCCGTGCCTCGAGCAGCTGGGTGCGCGCGGGGGTCGTGCCGCCACGTGCGAGTGTTGTCCCTTGCGGGCGCGCCGGCGCGACGACTTGGCGGACTCGTGCGCCGACGTCCTGGCAGAGGCCGGCGGGCGCGTCCGCCGCGGGCCCCTGGCCCTTGGGCTCTCCGCCAGCAGTGCCGAGGCATGGCTGGGCGTCTGAGCGCGCGGCGCCCCAGGGCTCCTGGGCTGCCTCGCGGGCGTCGCGGTCGGGCGCCTGGTGTCCGCGGCAAACCAGCCAGGCGCCTTTCGGGGGCGCGCGGCGCGCGCCGCCGAGGCCGAGAAGGGCGCCCGCTACCCGCCGGCCTGGGGCAGGGCGCTCTGTCGCCGCCAACGACACCACCCCGGCCCAACCCGAAGGCTTCAACTTGCCCTCCATCTCCAGTGGGGGGAGGGTCGGGGAACGCCGGAAAAACGCGTGGAAACCGTGCCCCCTCAAGCCGACATTCGGATCAGATTCGGGCCTCCAGGTCGGGTTGGGGTTGTTTGGTAGGCGTCGGCCGCGCGCAGAGGGGGGTGGGGGAGGGGGGGGCTTCTTGGAAGCAGTCTCCTACCAAGGAGCCCCCCCCCTCCCTCCGCCCCTTTTTGCGCGCCGCCAAAGGTGGTCGCTCTGGCCCGCCGCGCGCGAGACCTCCAGCAGGCTCGGCGCGCGGGCGGAGGCGCTGCCGCAGTGCTGCCCGGCGGCCTGCGCCGGGCGCGCGCGACGCAGGGGCCGCCTGCCTGGCCGCCCGCCGCGCCGCTGGCGCGCCCAGGTGGACGCCGCGCTTATGCGCGGCGTTGCGGCGCGGGGCGCCGGGCCGCCCGCGCCGGCGCTTCGCCGCCGCGGGCGCGGCCTAGCTTTAAGCTGGGCCCGTCCCTCTACAGGGGGAAAATCCAAAAGTAGTCAACAAATAGTCAGGGGGCGATCTTATCGTGGAGCTATTTTCAATTTTTCGTCCAAAACCCGCCTGCAGGGGGGCGCGCCCGACCTGGGCCTAGCTGGAGGAGCGCGGCGCCGGCCCGTGACCGCGCTGGCCCGAGTCCAACTCCCGCCGCCCCGTTCCCCCTGGCCAGACTAGCCGCTTGCCGCTCGCTGCTCCTTCTCCTATTATTCCTTTCCCTCGCACCCGCCTCTTCCGCGACATTTCTTGCCGCTGGGCCGCCGCGGGTTCGAACCTGCCCGGGCTTCGGGCGCGGCTGAGTCGGATCAGGCGCGCGCGTGCGATTGTCGGATGGAGACTTGCGCGCGCGCGCGCGGAGCTTCGAGAGCAGGAGGGCGTCCGCCGGCGAGATGAGACGACAGGTTGGCATTTTTCACGCGTGAAGTACCGAGTGCAACACCCCGCTGGTCAGTGGGCCGCAAGCGCAGCGAGATAGGAAGAGAACGCGCTCGCGGAACGCCTTTTGCAGACGTGAGGGCGGGCCTTTTCCCGCCCCCCCCCCTTGGCATAGCGGCGCAGATCAGCGGCGAACCCAGGGGTGTGTGAGAAGGGGCGGGTCTTTCTGGAAGGCTCGGAAGTCCCCCAGCCTTCTGACAAGATTTCTCAGCCTTTTCCGAAAACGAAAAATCTCTCCGAAGGTCTGGAGGCTTCTGAGGAGTCCTGCTGCCTTTAAAACAATTTGTTCCATCTCATTCCCCCCCTCGTTCACCACCGAACAGCGGCGCAAAGCTTGCTCGCGCGTCGTGCGCACCCTTGGCATCGCGCATGCAGGTTGCGCCGATTGTTCCAGATCGTGCCCCGCCCGTTCACGGGCCAATCTTTCGGTTTGACCAGGCTTTTGCCGTTCTGCCCCTTCCCCCCCTTCCCTTACCTTCCCTTCCTCCTCGCCGTCGTCCTCCTCCTCCCTCCTCCTCCCCTTCCCCTTGCCCCCTTCCGCTCCCTCTTTGGACAGATTGGAAGCCTTCGGAATCCATCGAGGCCCAATGTTGAGCCAAACTGCCAGGCGTGCCAATCGTGTTGAAGCGCCGGAAGGTTCTGGTTCTTGCTCTGTTTGTCCTGCACCCTTTTGAAGACTTCCTGTGGCCTTTTGTGAGCCTCTTGGGCCTTCTTGGGATCGCGCCGAGGCTTTCTAAGCTATCTGCGAGCCTTCTCGACGAAGTGTTGGCGTTGTTTTGGACCCCGTTGGACGCTGGAAAGGCGGCACAAACAACGCACCGAACACGGGTGGAATCCGACGCCCCCTGCGATTTTTTTTTTTTTTTTTTTTTTTTTTTTTGTTATGAATTTGTTTTGTGGGAGGGGAGGAGGAGGAGGAGGAAAAGGATGGGGATGGGGATGGGGATGGGGATGATGATGCTGATGATGATGCTGATGCTGATGCTGATGCTGCTGCTGCTGCTGATGATGCCGATGATGATGGTGGTGCTGCTGATGATGATGGTGATGTTGATGCTGATGCTGATGGTGCTGCTGCTGCTGATGATGATGATGATGGTGCTGGTGGTTCTGATGATGCTGATGGTGATGCTGCTGCTGATGATGATGATGCTGATGATGATGATGATGATTCTCCGAATAGGCTTGCCCTATAGGAGTCCTAGCTCATCACAAGTAATTGGTCTTTGGGACCCCCCGCTTTTTCCAATGGCACCCCCCCTTATTCCAATGGCACCCCTTTCCCCCCTTTTTCTAGTGTCTAGTGGCACTCCCCCTTATGTATGCTTGCTTGCTTGCGTGCGTGCGTGCGTGCTTGCTTGCACGATTGCTTGCCTGCTTGCTTGCGCGCTTGCTTGCGCGCTTGCTTGCGCGCTTGCTT